TCGGAGCAGATGGCCCCCAGGTCTCCTCTACACCTTCCCCCCTCTTCCGATCATTCTGGCAGTCATTTGGAAGATGTTGGAGGAGAAGGCAGAGCTGATTTTCCTGGCACCTCATTGGCCCAGGAGACCCTGGTTTGTGGATCTGGTGAACCTATCAGTTGGACCCACCATTGGAGAATCCCGGACCACAGGGTCTCACTTCTCCAGGGACCCCTGGTTCATCCGGAGCCACAATGGTCCCACCTAACCATGTGGTGCTTGAGTGGCAACACCTGAGAGATTCGAACATTCTAGCTGCAGACTCGATCTGATTGTATTGAGGACCCAGGCATCCTATGTAGACTCCTCCCATCTGGTGATAAAGGTCAGATGACCTCCGATGGGAGGGGGGAACAGGCGTTTACTTGGAGCATTGGAAGGCATGGCCCCCTCCTCCTCAAAAGGCTTCCTACCCGTATGTTGGTGCTGTTGTCAGTTATTCACCTCAGGGCGCTGCTCCTGGCATTGAGGGATGCCCTCTGATGACGGGAGAAGCGAGGGGAAGGTTCAGCTCAGAAAGATGAGGGACGGAAATAAGGGGTTGGATGGTAATCCACCCTCTTACCTGTCAAGAAGAGGACCTTCCTCTAATCCCTGGTCTCGATCAAATATGGATCCAGGGCCTCAACAAAGAGCTTCTCACCTGCATAAGGATGCCAGCTTCCATTTATGGCGTGATTCGGATTGCCAGTTCCGGAGCCAAAGTAATCGTCTAGCTGTTATCGAGGAGGCCATGGCTCTGGAGGCGAATTTTGCTGAATTCAGAGTGGGATAGTTCACTGGGATAGTTCTTTCAGAAATACTGCCACAAGATAAGACAAACCGACGCTTCAATTAAAATGGCTTCCGGCCTCACGCTTTGTGCTGAGGTAATAAAATGGCTGCCTGCACGAGGAGAAATTGTTGAAGGGCCTTTCTTGCTCTATAGGCTCTAAGAGCCCCGAGCGAAGAGAGAAACCCAGGAACGAAACTTTTAGCCTCGGAGCAGTTGTGTGTCAGAAGCTTGAAATCAAACCTGCAACGATGAAATTGTTGGAGGGCCTTTGTCAATCTATACGCCCTAAGAGCCCGAGCGAAGAGAGAAACCCAGGAGTGAAACTTTTAGCCTCAGAGCAGCTGTGTATCAGAGGCTTGAGATCAAACCTGCAACCTTTTCCGGCTAATTGCTAACTATGATCCTTAACTCTGCTTCCAAGACACAAAGCTCAATTTGACTAGGAGCTGAGTCAAAGCTGGGGTACCTGGCTAGAGGCTGGCCTTTTATACAGAAGACTCAGCTCTATGATGTAATAGGGAGGAATCTAATCCATCCTGGACTCTCGAAGCAGCGTATAGGAGAATATACTGTCTAAATCCTATTAAAACAAATCTGTTAGTCACATAAATACATTTACAATATTAGCATGTCCTATGGTGAGACCAACCTGTACTTAAGAAACATTCATTCTGATGCTTGCTTTCATCAGAAAAATATTCTAAATATTCCTAGATATATATGAGTAGTATCCTTGAAACTCTTGAAGCTTGTTTTCCTGCAGTTATTTCATTACCAAACCAGGTAACATCATCAGTGTAGGACTGCACATCTTCACACTTTTCTGTAACATATAATTATTGATTTTATATATACAATGTGCAATCCATAATACAAATTATAGCAGTCTAACTACTCAATTACAATTTCCAACATGCCAAGTTATGATAGTTGAAACTTATGGGAATTGTAAACTAGCACATATGAAAGGTTTCGGGTTGAAGAGTACTATATTCAATTGTTTCAATTTTTATTTTCAAATGTTTGAAAATGGTATTTTTATTATAATTTGAAATATACATGATTTGTTTCCAGGACATGTAAAATCTTAGGTATATGAAAATCTATATAGAATTGTTCTGTTTAATGCTAATCATTTAGGAGTATTATTGCAAAAGTTGTAAGGATAGATACAACTATATATTTTATTTATTTTATTTGGTTTGTCAATTGCTTACAAGATAATAGGTATAAGTAAAAACATAGTTATGAATACATGGATACATATAAGAAAAATAAAAGAAACAATAGGACAGGGACAGTAGGCACGTTGGTGCGCTTATGCACGCCCCCTACAAACCTCTTAAGTTATATCACATTATCCACATAAAAAAGTTACTGCCAGTTATATATTGCTATCAAGGGACTGCAATAATTTATGTAACATCTGTTTTCATATTTTCCTAATTAACATAAATATTTAATACGTAAATGCTCAGGCCACTTCTCCTGCAACTGACTCCCCTCCTCTCTTTTTTTAATGTCAGTATTCTCAAAAATAGAAAGATGTTTATATTTAATTGGAAACATGAATAAGTAAAATATAAATCAAAATTCTTATGAAATTTTAGGTGAAATCAGTTGAAATACATGAAAAATATGCTATAATAATTAATAGAAAATGTTGAAAAAACTAAAAGGGCATGAATACTAACAAGCTATATTATTATTCAGGTGAATACTAAATTCAAGTGAGGACAAAAAATGAGGAGCATACTAAACTGAGAACTGTGTATATATATAATCCACGAAAAAGTCAATTATCACCATCATCCAGAAAAATAAGTAACAGAATAGAAAATAATCCTTCTTTTTAAACTAATTTTATCTTTGGTGTGAAAACAGTGCTAGTATTTTTTAAATCACTTCTAATGAACTATGAAATAAAATGTTGTTAGTCCATATTAAGGAAATGGAAAGGAGCTGCAGCTACAAGGTGATTCTAAATGAGTTTTGTCATCCATACTGCTTATACAATCAAGCTCTTATACAGCTTAAAATTCTGTCGATGGCCTTTTGGAACTGGGTCAGTGCAAGCAGTGGGCAAGTGTGTGAAGCTTCATCTGCACATGCGTCGAACCTAGGTTGAATGCATGAAGCCATTTCCCATCCCCGGTGCCACCATCAGTCTGTGAAGCCAGAAAGGTTGGGAACCGCTGAAAATTTTTGCTATCATGTTTCATATTTCCAGACACCTTGTTGCAAGTAGGATTGAAGCTGAACTGGGCAGTGTTATTAAAACAAGTATACCTTGAGTTAAGAAAGTTCAATTAATGTCCATTGTAATTGCAACTCCCCCCAAAAAGCATTTATGACTTGGTCCCACAGATATACGTGCTGCAGTACCACAGCATTTGTTCTCTTTTACGACCAACTGCAGAGATGCTGAAACATCCCCTCTTCCTATCCTGCCCTGCCGGATCTCACAGGCATGGGGCCTGCTCCACTAGCCTCCCAGATTCCACTTGCTCTCCCCATCCCATTTCCCATTGCTTACTTACTTTTTAAGATTCCCCAGAGATCCAGAAGAGGCTGATCCATGTGGGAAAGAAGGTTAAGGCTTTATTCAGATGCTGGTGAAGCTGGCAGAACATGAGATCTAAGGAAAATAGCTTCAACAGTATCTGAATAAAAGATTTTGACTTTTCTGCCATGAGACCAGCGCCCCTGCAGGCTTGCAAAGCTTGCAGTTCAGCTTGATGAAACAAAGGAAACAAGCTCTGGGTTGATTGGCTGCCACGCTCCAATCTTTAATGCTGATCATTCAAACCAGCTAGTCAGCAGCAAGCAAGAGACTGCTCTGGTGCCACCCAGGCTGGGCCCAAACAAAGTATGCAGGGACACTGACCTCGTGGCAGAAAAGCTGAAGTCTTTTATTCAGAATTGTGCATTTAACAACTTGAGCATTCAATTAGTGAATGCATTGGGTAAAGCAGGGAGGCATCATGTTCATATAACGTGATCCAGTCAAACGAAGTCTCTAGTTTTGAATGTAATTGGCAGGCTCTATTACATTCATAACTCAAGGATTGGTGATATTTTTTTAGATCAGCACATATGTTTGAATCATAATGTAAACATAGGTATTGGTCATCATTTATAAACCAGTTTCACCCAATCACATCAATCCAACCCACTTGATCAGGCAAAGAAGGTATTCTGCAGACCCTGTCAATTAAAGAATTTTTATTGGCAGAGTTTAGGAAGAGAACATTCTCACCCCTACCCTGCATTATGGAATATCCTTCCACCAGAAGTCAGACAGTTCTCCACTCTCCTGGCCTTCTGTGAAAGGGCAAAAACCTGGCTCTATGATCTTGCAAGAAGGAAATAAAGATCCATACAATTGTGGGGCTGGCTGGTCTCAGAGAGCATTGTCTCTGTCTTATTAAGCAATGTTAAATAACCACATAAGAGATGAACAGGCTGAGCCTAAGGGAGGGTCAAACACATCATCAGCCTCGAGTCCCTTTACGCCCACAAGAGATCTAACTCGAGAGGGCGGAGTTGGCATCGCGGCGGTACAACACGCGATCTTGATTCTCCAAGATCGCTGTTGATATCTCCACTGCTGGACAGTCCCACTGGACCTAAACCATCTCATAGAGACCGTGACTAATAAGGGCACATCCTGCTGATCCCAGGGACATCGCAAAGTCCCTGGTTGATCCAGGAAAAGCCCTTTTTGCCGGTGGCGGACAGGTAGCCTTTCAAGCTGCTGAAGCTGGGACAGCTCTGGAACGGAAGAGATCAAAAGAAAGTGTGTCAGTTTGGTGAGAGGAACTTTTATGTATTGTTTTTTGGAGAGAACACCCTAAAAGACTTAAAGTGGAATTAAAAGTGAAGAGAAAAGAGACGGTGGCGAGATTAAGCTAGATAAATTGAAGGTCCCCCCCCCCTTTTATTGGAACTTGGAATTTGGCAAAGCTTCTTAATTTTAAACTGGACTTTTAAAATTTTTTTTACTTTTTTAACAATTCTCTTGAAAGTCTGCTCTGATTAAGACTCTTCTTTCTGATTTGAGATTTATTTATTTCTCTTTTTAAAAAGAAAATATTTTACTTTTTTTCTCTATTTCTGGCTTTGGATACATGAGGGGAAGTGAAAGTGAAGAAAAATAAGTAGCACTGCCATCTAGAGGCTTGGATATATTGTTTTCTTTTTTCTTTTATTTGCTTGTGTATTTGTGTTATACTCGAGCTTTGCACTGAAAAAGATAGTGGGACAAGCAAGGCAGATTGTTTATACAGGTGCTCATCTGTGAAACTATAGATAGCCGGAGTCTGTAGTTGAAGTTGAAAGAAAGAAGATTGAAGTGACCTTGAAAATACTGGAACTGGAAAGTCTGAGCTGATTTAGCAAAGAGTCTTGGATATTTAGTGGCAGTGGCTTGTCTTTTATTAGAATCGTTTGTTATTTCTTACTTTCTTTTTTTACTTCCCCTCTAGTTGGATTTTTATGTTTGGATTTTAACCTTCTAACCCAGGAACTAGAATATAAATTTTTATTTTGCTTTCTTTTTTTTATAAAGAGAAATACATAGACTATTATTTTTTAATTTTTTTCCTCCTTCCTCTTATCCTTTTTTTTTTAAAAAAAAATTCTGTTGATCCTTTTTTCCACATCTTCCCCTTTTTTTGCATATTACTGCAACTAATTGGATTAAGGTATATAAATGCCTGAAGATTTTTCTCCTTTTTTATTTTTTGGAGTGGCAGCTGTTTGCTTTCGCTCTTTTCCCCCCCTTTTTTTCTTTCTCTTTCTTTTTCTACAGCTAAGTATTACAAGATGAGTAGAAAGACAACAGCCCCAGCTTCTTCAATACCAATAGCCTCCTCTTCACCATCTGGAGGACAACGATCAATATAGACAGTGCTACAACAGGAGAAAAAGAACAAAGTGACATTGCAGATGATTATGCAAGGAATCCAGAAGATTGAAAAGAGAACAGAGAATATTGAGCAAAGAACTGAAAAGACAGATGAGAAAGTAGAGAATATTCAACAGATAGATGATGAAATATGTGGACAGATTTAAGAAAATCAAAGAAGATATACAAAGAGATAAGAAAATTGGAGATATTGATACTCGATTGAGTGAAGTTGAAAAGGGCAGGAGTGGACCATTAGGATGGGAAATCGATAGATCAGAATTTTACCCGAGATTTCAAAATGTAGAAGAAGAAAAAGGTGAAAACCTTGCTGAAATAATGACAGAAATATTGGCAGAAGCGTTAGAGATAACCAAAGAGAAGATGATGAATGGGATGGATGAACTGTTCCATGTCTATACAAGACATGCAATGAGAAATAGGTTACCAAGAGAAGTTCACATCAGATTTACTAAGAAAATTATTAAAACACAGATACTGCAGGTGGCAAGAGAGAAAACATTAAAGTACAAAGACAAAGAAATTGTGGTGCTGAAACAGGTACCAAGAAGAGTAAGAGAGATGAAAAGAGAATATTTATTTCTGACTAAAGAGTTACTTAAAAGAGGAGTAAATTACAGATGGCTGATACCAGAAGGCCTCTTGTTCACCTGGCAGAAACAAAGACACAGAATTGACACAGTCAAAAAAGATGAGCTATTCTACTTAGAATATCTTAGAGGAAAGGAGGAAGACATAAGAAAAGAAGAGTCGTTAGCTGAATTTCAAAAGGAGTGTATAGCAGTAATTGAAAAAGAACAAAAAAAAAGAGGGTGCAGTAGGTGATGTATCCAGAGAGCAACGAGAACTAAGATCTACTAGAGCAATAAAATCCTTACAAAGCTTAATATGGATGAAAGAAAATTGATTCCCATTAATATAAATGGACTTAATTTAGCTACTAAAAGAAGAAAAGTATTTCATAAATTAGACAAATTAAAGTTTGATATAATTTGCCTACAAGAAGTAGATATTAAAAAACAACATATATATTGAAACAAAAAAAATTAGGAAAATAATTTACGTCATTGACACAATTTTAAAAAAGAGGTGTGATCTTATATATTAGAGATACAATTTCAGCAGAACTAATTTATGCAGATGACAATGGAAGGATTTTGATGGTGGAAATAATGGACAATAATGTTAAAACACTTTTAATTGCAATCTATGCTCTGAATGATAACCAAGAAGAATTTTACAGGAAATTACATATGAAAACAATTGAACTGGACTACACTAATATTTGTATGTAAGAGAATACATCTTTACAGAATCTCTGGGACACGATGAAGGCCTACACAAAAGGCTTGATAATAGATTATACAAGGAAAAGAAACAGAAAACAGAAAAAAGTCTTTCAAAATATTGGAAGATGACTATAAGAGACTGGAAAAAGAATTACAGAAGTTCCTGCAAAAAAAAGACATTAAAATTAAAATGGATATAACTAAACATAAAATGGGATTAATGGAAAAAGAGGAATTAGCACAAAAAATTAAAAATACTAAACAGAATTACTTTGAAGATGCAAACAAACCAGGCAGATAGTTAGCCTATAAACTGGGAAAGGAAAGAGAATCAATAAGGATTAGCCAATTAATAAATGAAGAAGGACGTGTTTGCTATAGAAATGAGGAGAAAAAAAAATTATACAAGATTACTATGGAAAACTGTATTATCAAGAAAAAAATCAAGAAGAAAAAGTTAAGCAATATTTACAGAAAGTGAATTTACCCCAGATACCCAAATATATTGAAACAATGCTAGAAGGGAACATAATGATGATGGAATTAACAGAAGCCTTAAAAAAAACAGAATGTTGGAAAAGCACCAGGATCAGATGGATTGCCAGCGAAATTTTATAAGACTTTCCAGGAAATATTGAATCTTCAACTATTAAAAGTCATGAACGAAGAGTCAAAGAAGAGAATATCCAAAACATGGTCAGAACCATATATTACACTTATACCGAAGGAAGATACAGACCCGCAGCAAGTTAAAAATTTTCGACCTATATCCCTATTAAATTCAGATTATAACATTTTTGCTTCAATTTTGGCAGAAAGATTGAAAACATATTTAAATAATTTTATTCACGCTGATCAAAATGGATTTCTGCCAAAGAGACAAACCAAAGACAATATGAGAATAATTCTGGACACTTTGGAATACTATGAGGCACATCCTGAAAAGCAAATGGCCTTGATGTTTTTAGATGCACAAAAAGCCTTTGACAATGTGAGTTGGCGATTCATCTTATTTCAATTGACACAAATGGGCTTTGATAAAAAAATTTATTCAAGCCATTGAAATGCTATATCATAAACAAACTGCAAAGGTTATGGTAAATGGAGAATTAACAGAATCTATACATATAAGAAAAGGGACTAGGCAAGGTTGTCCATTGTCGCCTCTGCTGTTTGTATTAACATTGGAAGTGTTGAATAGGAATATTAGAGAAGAAAAAGAAATAAAAGGAATGAGAATCAAAAAGGAAGAGTATAAATTACAAGCCTTTGCAGATGACCTGGTATTTATATTAGAAGATCCATTGGAAACAGCACCTAAATTAATAGAAAAGATAGAAGAATATGGAAAATTAGCAGGTTTGAAAAGGGGTGTTGGTACTTACCTGACACACCCTTTCTCTGTGAGCTGTGAAGAGCATCCATTGTTCGGGATGATGCTTCTGTCGCTCGTCTGATAGGCTGGGCTTTGAGAGGACACTCCTCCTCCTCCACGGGACTCCTCCCTAGCACCCCCAGTTTTGGCAAAGTCGAAGTGATGAAATATTTCTTCTCCTTCACCCTTTCTAATACTTGGCTGGAATAGCACCCCACCAGACAAATAAGGGTGGGGATGGATGCTCTTCACAGCTCACAGAGAAAGGGCATGTCAGGTAAGTACCAACAAAAACTAAGAGTTTTGCTATGTGAGGATCTAATTGGAATGTGGGGATGGGCCTCCATTAAGTCAATGGAGGGTAGAAAGTCACCCCTTCTGAAGCTCACAAGTATGGAGTTCAGTGTACTCATCTTAAGCCTTAAACTAGGGACCGATTAAGTCATTTTAAAACTAAAATTGCCCCTGCTGATCCGGTCAGTTGCCTGGATCTCCAATAAATGAACAATAGCTGTCTCCATCATGCTCCCCTTAACAGGATCCCCGGAGAGAGGGCAAGTAATGTAAAGGTTCCAGGGAGAGGATAGAAATTCTATAGCCAGGCCTAATCTTCTGATATATCTAACCCAGGAAACAGAGGTAGAGGCATCCCGTCTGTCCGTGAAAGGCTTGAGCCTTCCACCAATAGGGGCACAGTCGTGAGGCCTATGTTGTGCCTCGGAGACCTCTATTTCATGTTCCTCAAGAGATTCTTTTGGTCTGCCCTCCTCTTCAGTATCTATCTCCAGATCGGAAACTATCCGACTGTTGGTGATTCATGCATCCAGATGGTCCCTGGAGTCTGGAGAGAAAAAGTCCCTGGTAGATGGAATGAAGGAACCCTCCAAAAAGCTGGGAAGGACTATTTTGGGATCTATGAAAAGAGAGGAACTTATTTTCTGCTTCTAGTCTCTATCAGAGATAGGCCAGGTGCACCACCAACCAAATTATCTCCCTATACTGGGGAGGAAGCAAGCTTCCATTAGTTGTGTGATATCTGCTTGCCAATGTCTGAGCCATAGCAGTAGGCAAGGAGTAACCTGAGATGCCCTGGCTCGAGCAGATAATTTAATAGAGTTTTGCGGCGTCCTTGTGCACCCTGATATTGGAATTTGAGATAATCTCCCTCAGATGGCAGAGCTACCTGAGAGACAATCTAGTTTTAAAAAAAAGGGATGCGGCCAACTCTGCTCTTATGGCTCCCACATCAGATCGACATGCCCTACATGGAGACAACTCAACCCTGTATATTCTTTAACTTGAGAGCCTCTTCTGCTTCCGTTGGAATTGCAGAGGAGGAGGATAATTGCCATTATTGTTTTATCTACTATCGTGGTGATGAGAAATTTAGCAGAATCAGAAAACCAAATTAAAAATTTTCTATCATATCCTGTAAGAGGCGTATATGCCACTGAAGAGACCCCTTGTTTCTGGATGAGATCCAAGAACCTCTGTGGGACAGTTATGACTTCCTCTTACATTATTGGTTGGGAGAAGATTAAATCGTCTGACCCCCCTTACAATAATGATTGTTAGGCCGAGGGGAATGGAATATCAAGGCAGGCAGTAGTTTTTTTTTGTTTTTGAAACAGAGACTTGAAAAAAGTCTGAGGGCGAAACAGACCTGAACGTCGGTGGTCTGGCTTAATGCCTTCAATGTCTGACATGCCCCCCCCTTTTTAGGGGATCCGCCTCTGAACAATTTTGATCATTGTTGTGAGTAGACCCTTCCTCAACCTGTTCCATCTGGTCTCTAGTTCTCTCTCATCCTGTACATCATGTGAATGTGTAACTGGATTATATAATACTCCGCTGAAGCAGGTACCTGCTGGTAATGAAGATCCGTTCTGCATAGTAACTAAATCAAGTGAGAATTGAGGTCAGATTGTGGAGGCTGCCTAGCCATCAACTTCTAGTCGCCATGTCCGTCCAGGCCTTCAATTTGTCAGGGACATCCTCTGGGAGGAGAAATTCTGGTGTGATCCCACAACTGTCTGTCAGGCAAGTAGCGTTGCTGAAGGCCTGGGTTGAACTGGTCCCTCTGAGGCTCTCCTGGATGGCGTTGAGACATCCAGGGATGGAGGCAAGGTGAAAAATGGAACACTTCACAAATTTACGTGTCATCCTTGTGCAGGGGCCATGTTAATCTTCTCTGTATCATTCCAATTTTAGTATATGTGCTGCTGAAGTGAGCACTCTGGAACTGGGATCAGCCTGGCTGGGGAAGAGGACTGAGACTTCTGTTCAACCCCCCTCATGCATTTTTTTTTAAACAATATGCTTATCTAACACATTTTGGCGTCTCTTGGCATCCTTTGTTGCCTTAGAGGTCTCTCTAAGACGTTTTGACCTACTTCGAGTTGGTTTATTGTCCTCTGGGGGTATTTTTGGTTGCCCTTGAAGATTCTGACCTAAAGCCCACGAGGTGAGATATATATATCTATATATCTATATGTGTATGTGATATTAATGGACCGTTGACTGGTCCAGAGGCCTGATGTAAACAGAGGCAGGGAATCCCTTTGATATTTGCTCCCCCCACTTTTTTTGGGGTAAACTCAATTTGTTATTATGTTATTATTCATAATAATATTGATATCATTAATATTGTTATTATTGATAATATTTTTGTTATATCTGTGCACAGCTACTAACATAAATTGTTGTGCTGTTACCAAACTCATAATTAGATGACTGAATATGGAATCAAATGGTGAAGCCAAATAGAGAACACCTTTCAGGAACTGTATTGCAATTGGGTGATCCTGCAGTCATTAGCCCTCAACAGCTTCCTGCCCAGGCGGACACAATCCTTGGCGCTCACTATTACTGTGCTGCTATATTCTGTGAGGGCTGCCAACTTAAAAAGCAAGCCCGATAGTCAACCTCAGAAAGAGGTCCGCAATCGGCATAAATGTCCCCTGGATCCTCACGGAGAGATCCTTGTAAGGGGAAGTGGCCTCTCAACAGATAATGCCATGGAATTCTTATAAACAAAATGATGCCGGTGTTGTTTTAGTCGTCAAGATGTCGCATCAACCATCACCTCTTATTGTGAGCCGATGCGAATCTAACTAGAATTTGAGAATTTGAGCGGGAGAACTCTGAATCCTCTGGCTCCACCCGATCAATAGCCCTTGCTTCTTCTATATACCTTGCGGGAGTGTATCTGAAACTCAGAATCTCCTGTGGAGAGATACCTGAGGGTAAGGATGCTCTGTCCTGCTTAGTGATCGGAGTTATAGGGAATTCCAATCGGAAGGAGCGCTCTGTTGTTGACCAGAGCAGTATGTTGCCCCCCCCCCACAGAGATACGTTGGCCTATTGCTAATTCCATCCACAGTCTCATCTTTGCAGGGACCTTTTCCGGTAAGTTATCATCTTGACAGAATCTGGCCGCTGTTGGAGCAATGTGGCCATAGAGCCACTTCGTGTCACTTGTACTGATCTAGATGGGCTACCTGATCTTGTGCAGCTGTGCTGCGTCTGGATTACACAGACAGATCCAGGAGGGGTTGCAGAGGGGGATTGGGGCCGAAGTAGGCCTGGAGGAGATGAGGTTTGAGAATTTTCTTCATCCTCCCACATGAACTTCTTCATGTGCTTTACTAGTACCTTATGGCGCTTGTTAGCGTCTTTTTCTGCTGCTTAGGAGGTACCCTTAGAATGCTTCAATTTGTTTTGAGAATTTGACATGGTTCTTGAGCTACTGCTGCTTGCTATTGTGACCGCTTATTAAATTTTACTGTTAATGAGGCTGAAATGTTGGGCGGTTGGCATGCCCAGGGGCCTGAACCAGCAATAGCCAGGGAACTCTAAAACAATGCTCCCCAGTTTTGTATAATCTTATATAAGAATATTGAATTCTTATTCTTGTTCCTATTATTATAATTATTATTATTATTATTTCCGAATTAGCCAAATTTGGAACACCTCATAGGCCTAGAAAGGAGGAATTGTTGAAATAAGATGTAGGCCTGCGACAGCTTCCTGCACAGGCAGACACGGGCCTTGGTGCTCGCTGTGGTGCTGCTGCTTAATTCTGTGAGGGCATAAGCCAACAGTTTCCTCCTTAACGAATAAGGGTCCAAAATAGAATAATTATATCTGAATATCCATATACATACATACATACACACACATATGTATTAGGGTGATTTCTCTCAGGTTCCAGGAAGGAGACCCCTGCTTAGGGAAAGAAAAGCCTCTCACAGTTCCAGAAATAAAATGCAAATCACTACCACATGGTTAGTGAGTCTGCAATGGCGCCAGCCATTATCTCTTTAGGTGCTTAATGAGTTAAATAGGCTCAGCAGCACTTCCACGCCTTGTGGGGAGTTGATACTACAGAGTTTCCCCTTGAATAAAAAGGTGCAGTGGAGCAGATGGGCGCTGATGCCCCCACCCGAGACGGTGTTCCCAGGGGAGAGAAAGAAGCCTTGGAGCCTTTTAAAATGGAGCCTCTCCCACTGGTCGCGAGCAGTGGTGATCGTAGCGGTTCGGCTTGAAAAGATCGTAATGGTACGGGCTAAGAAATGTGAGTTGTTAGCCATGCGGCTGAGGCATTATTGCCTCCGATCATCCTGGGGGCAAGAGATCATTATCTGAAGCTACGGTGAGCTCCCTCGCTCGAGTTATATGCTGTAGGGAGCTGCTTGACTCATTGAAACTAAAAGCCTGAAAGGATTTGTTTAGAGTTTAAAAGCAAACCTTTTTGTTGTCTCCTTTTGAAGCCTTT